TTTTCGATACATTATAAACAAAATGTATTTATTCACTTATATCTAAGTTACTTACTACAAATAACAAATCAATTTTACACAAATTAGACAAATACTAAATTATTATTTTTTTACTGATCGTGTGGTTAACCTACACCGCAAAGATAAGAATGATACTAACTAATCAATTTCAAAACCATATCGAACTGGTGGTCTACGTATCCTACATTCCCGGTGTGGCGGTCCCGGGCTCGCCGGCGCCGCCTCCCGCGGGCCCGCGCGCGCCCCCGCGCCCCCCGCGTCCGCGGCGGCACCGCCATCGCCGGCGGGGGCAGCCGCGGCGGGCACGGCGACGCACACTGAGCTCGCGAGAGGCCGCGGTTCTTCCGCGCCGAAACCATCGAGCCCCGAACCCTCCGATCTAGCCCCAGCCACTGTTTTCCCTGATAATCGCTCGCCCATTCGCTCTTGAGTTGAATCTATCTTTAGCTCACGCCTTTTTAATTGGTCAACATGACGATGTACGATTTGCCCATCTAACGAACGTATGTGGTAATCGGTGTCACCTAACTTTTTTACAACTGTACCCTTTTCCCACCTAGTTCCTGTTCCAAAATTTCTATACCACACGTCTTTCCCTTCCTCAAACGAACGTAACCTACCACCGGCCATACTTCCTTGCTTTCGTTGTAAATTATCAATTTTCTTTTCCCGATCTGGTTTTATACAATCAAGTCTAGTTCGCAAAGAACGTCCGAAAAGAAGTTGAGCGGGACTTTCTCCCGTGGTACTGTGACTGGTATTTCTATAGATCAATAAGAACCTATTCAAAGCTATATCTACATCTACTTGTTGGACCAAAGCTTTCTTAATAACCCTTTTACAAATCTTTACTGCATTTTCTGCCGCACCATTTGAAGCAGGATGATATGGGGCTGTAAATATTGATTCTATACCGTTACATTTATAAAAATCATTCATTTCATCACTCGAGAAAGGTGGACCGTTATCGCTGATTATTTGTTTAGGCAGGCCAAAACGTGCAAATACTTCTCTAAATTTATTTATAACCATTTTTGCGGTAGTGGTTGTCATTTTAAAAATCTCTATCCACTTGGTGGTCGAATCTATTATGACTAAGTACTTAACGCCATGAATAGGTCCCAGAAAATCAACGTGGATTCGTGACCAAGGCCGCGGCGGCCACGGCCACGCGCGCGGCTCGTGCGCCGGCGGGGCGCTCGCCAGCGCCGCGCACACCTCGCACGCGCGGCACCGCGCCTCCACTGCCTCGTCCACTCCCGGCCACCACACGTAACTCCTAGCCAAGCTCTTAGTTTTTACCACCCCCATGTGAGAATCGTGAAGTTCGCGCAATACTTTATTTTGACAACTTTCCGGTATGACCACCCGGTGACCCCACATAATGCAGTCTAATTCGCAATATAATTCCGACCTACGATTGTAATACGGTTTTATTTCCTTTATATCGACTTCATGTGGCCAACCATCACGAATATAGCTTAACACCCTACTTAGAATATGGTCTTTTTGTGTTTCCTTACGAATAATATTATAATCAAGTAAAAGGGCTTCAGATGCAAAATGAAGGTAAGTTTGCTCTGGATACTCTTCGTTTTTACCTGAGTTATCCCTATATGTAGATATCAATCGAGATAATGCATCAGCCGTGTTGTCGTCCGACTTTATGTATTCTATCGTAAAATTGTAGGCTGATAATATTAGTGCCCAGCGTTGTAAACGACTGGCTGTCATATTTGGTATTCCTGCCCCCGGTCCGAATATACTTACTAATGGTTTATGGTCAGTTTTTAATGTAAAATGGCGACCATATAAATACTGGTGAAATTTTTTTACCGAAAAGATTATGGCTAAAGCTTCTTTATGTATCTGGCTATAATTGATTTCTGGCGGCGTGAGCGCGCGCGAAGCGTAGGCTATGACGCGCTCGGCGCCGGCCGCGTCCCGCTGCGCCAGCACCGCGCCCAGCCCGTGCGGGCTCGCGTCGCACGTCAGCACCAGCGGCCTGTTTATGTCATAATATGCAAGCACTTGCGCCCCTTTTAGCAATTCTTTAACCTTATTGAATGCCCTTTGCTGACTTGGACCCCAAGTCCATCTAGAGTGTTTTTTTAATAAACTATACAAAGGGGCTAGCTGTTCACTCAAGTTTTTAATAAATTTCCCATAAAAATTGATCATTCCTATAAATGATCTTAACTCACTGACATTATTTGGGGGTGTCATTGATTAAGGGAGAGTCCGCTAATTTGGACCAGTTTTTTTCAATCCCATTTTACACATAGATTTCTTTTGTTTTTGCTAATGTCCATGGTATATAATAAAAGATACATTATTCAACTTACTATTTCATGAGTATTAATTAACATGATTGTTGTATATTTAGCACAAATCAACAAAGTACGAGTTCAGAGCTTCGGTCCAATTTAGCCAACCGGTTCGATAATTTGTACCACAGGGTTACTAAATTGGATTTCAATAAATTTCAAGCCTATAAAAAATCTATGGCAAAATATTATACGATACATTCTTAACAAATTAGGAAACGAAAAGGAACAGTAGTTAATAACATAGACAATCGATATTGTTTTATACGTTATCACGATTTTGAGTACAAGTTTTGTAATTCCAATTATCGTAACGCACACTTGTACCTAATCTACTTTGCCAGTCTTTTGCTTTCAATTATTGTTAGTCAAACATAACTACGCTATTAAAACTTCAAAATATGATTTAGTAAAAAAAATTTCAAAATTCTTTGGTAAAGTTCCATACAACTTGATGTGGTACAATTTAGCCGACTAGGTGATAGTGCTTTTAAAAAATCGGTAAAAAATATAGCTTATAAATGCCGAAAAATGTTTCAAATAATTGTAATCCACACTAATTTACGCTTCTAAATAATATATTAGAAACACCCTGTGATTAAATTTAACAAAATTACAAACTAAAGATGTATTGTCAAAAGTTACTTGAAAACAATGAAAAAATACTTTTCAAAATAAAACACACGTGTTTGTTGTCACGGCAAAAAACACATGGCCGATATTAATTGATTTTAGTTGTGTATCGCTGAGTGGTGCAATTACAGACATTCAATAAATACTTTACGAAATATGAGGGTGGTACAATTTACCCGGCGGTACAATATACCGAACTCTCCCCTATTGTGTCACATTACTTTTATGTGAATACCTTACAAAACTTAATATTCATAACACTTATCAGTCACCATTTTGGAACTGCAAAACTTATCAGCAGATCTAGCTAACTACCACAAAATGATGACCTTCGACGATAGACTTTCTAAAAGATTTTTATTTTATACCTTAGTTGTTGCATCGCAGGAAAGATCCTTAATTTTGAACTCTTCCTAAATGTTCTTTTGATTAATTTCGTTGCGGGTCCATTGACAATTTGATCGCCCCTGGGAAGAACTTGGCTTTCAGTTGTTGGGTGCCTGTTTGCGGTCAAGTTGTAGATTCTAGCTACATAGAAGTTGCAGCAGTGGGAGGGAATTGTACCGTTTAAAAAAATATTTTGAACATTAATTCTTTTTTTTCTTTAAACCTACCGTTTGTATCTACATTCGGCCGCCGATCACGTTTCCAACATAATCATAGGATTAGAGAACACCATCAATACACAAGGTTTCAAATTAAACGCTCACGAGCTAGGTGCGAGTGTTCTCTATTGTTAAAATAATGCGGGAACTGTGAGGAGTCACGATAGAAGGAGTAAGGGTATTTGTTGGCTATATTATGGACTAGGAAATAGTTAAAGGAGTTAGGGATATAACATGATAGTCCGTCATCAGAACAATCAGGGTTCGGGAGTTGAATCCCAATGTGGGGAAAATGTTAAATTGTGTTATTTACATGTGTATTAATGGTGTTTCAATAAATGATGTCAACTGCTGGACAAAGGACGTCCCAAACGACCAGTTCTAGCAGTGTTCTAATCAAGATGCAATGTATCTCACTATTCATCTATGTAAGAGAGTGAGAGTGGACGTCCTATGGTAAAAATGATGATGACCTACGTAAGAACAATTTACGAGTATTTGTTTTCAGTGACCTCAGTACAAGCTCTGCTTCGTTAAAAGCTAGATATCAATATGATTTTGGGATCACGTCAATAACATTGTAGCTGAAAGCTTTAAACTTTCATAGCTTTTCAGCGCAGTCAAAATCAAAAAATTGCACTAATTAATTATAAAATACGTCTCAGATAACAATTTTCCCGACTTCTAACATAGACATTAGACAAACCAGCATTGCATTGAACTAGAAAAACAAAAACATTCCTTGCATAACCGTCCCGAGCGCGTGGATTTAAAATTCAAATTAGGCAGTAAAAATGGCGACCTTAGGCGATAGTAAGCGTTATTTACTTTATGTAACCCGTGACCTTGTGCCGACGTGCTAACGAGGGCTCGTGTGCGCGCGCTCACCTCACAGCTTAGGAAGAACAGCCATGCCAGTCAAAATGACCTACTTTTAGTCTTCGGTAGCTTAATTTTTTTTTATGTGACAGGAGGCAAACGAGCAGACGGATCACCTGATGTTAAGTGATTACCGTCGCCTATAGACACCGTATTATGTCAAAATATCTTTCGGAACGATGAATAGGTACCTCCTACACGAGAAGTGGTTTTCACAAATTGATTTCCCAAATCACCACAGTGAAATGAAAAATTTACGACAATTCGTTACCACAAAGAAATACTTTGTAAGTTAGTAAGGTACTCTACACAATATTATACCTCGCTATAAGTACACAACTTAGCATGCAAACATAGCTGGGATAGTAGATAGTTCAAAGTCTTAATAGTATTAAGATCATGGTCTTATTATGTTTAGAATGTGTATAAGCTGTCATTTATTTTACACTATTGTAGGTAATGTATCGCGCCTTTCTTTTTATTAAGTGCTACTTTAACCATGCTAAATTAATTTAAATAAACAAAAACAATTGTCTGTCGGTTCTCCCTGAGCTATGTCCCGCTGCGCCGGCGCATAGAAAGCCAATAACGCCGGCTAAGCGGATTGACGCGTCGGTCTGTCATTACCAGCAAATCTGACAGCGGCTAACGTGTTGTTTGCTCTTATTAACATGAATAAATTGATATTAGACAGGTGTATAAATCATAACTTGTACAGGCTGATCTGTTTATAAGTTGGTATTAGCCACAGATATGGATTAGAGTAGATACAGCAAGTTGATCGTCAAAGCGTGCCATTCCGATATGTCCAAATGGACATACATGGTCGAGTGATGTTCATGTAATCCGATTACAACAATCGGTTACGATGATTTTACGAGGACAGTAGTACGAACACGGTAGAAAGAAGAAATTATTTACGGATTGAGAATTGTAATTAACAGCACAAGTAACAAATAATTAATTAGAATAAAGTAGCAGTAGAAGAAGTATAAAGTAGCATTGTTTTTAATACATATCCTGCGATGTACTCTTAAGAGTTAAAACCAGTTTATGTGGTGCACTCATACCGATCCCAAGGAACCGTACTTACTCATAACAATAAGACACACACTGATCCATGTATTCATGCACTTGACAAATGTCTGTCTTAAAACTCTGGTAAGGTAAAAAAATAACGAGATTTGACGATTTGTAAGAATTAATTTATTTTAAAAAGGTAAATAAAGATGTTTTTGGTTTTGTATTTAACAAATTATCAGTTTTATCGGAATTAATTAATTGTCGAATCGAGTCACACGATATCTTTCGATGACTTTGCGAATGCAGTACGATGATACGATTATTTTTACGTTGCGGCAATCACTAAAATTCGCTAAAATGACACTAATGACGTTTAAAAAGTGGCACGCTCGGCTTCATACAATTTTTTTCACATGCTGCATCTATCCTTATCTGTGGTATTAGCTAGCCATAATGACATTTTAAAAACGTAAAAAGTTCTTTTCTTCTTCTATTATTTCCAAATGAAGTAATTAAGACAAAATATCTTCTTAATAGACCGCTACCAACCGGCCATTATTGTAATCATTGGGGGAGGCCTATGTTCAGCAGTGGACGTCCTATGACTGAAATTATGATGATGATGATCTTCTTAAATTATTAATATTGAAAGCAGAAAATAATTAACATTAAGTTGCAGTTAACAGATTTATCTGTATAATGACATCTACATATTTTATGTCTGATTTCAATGATTTGATGTCAATCAAACCACACCGAGAAGTATTTCCTACAAAATAGTGTACGTTCGTACTTTTTAATGACCGACTATAAATTAATTAAAGCTACAATTAATTAACACTTGTGTCATTAATGACGAAGTTTACAGCAGCAATTACATTAGACCACAAAATAATCCGACCTTGTTTAAAATTCAAACGCACAACCTTGATTGACGGAACACGTATTTTCATCACAAAACACACGAAATTTCATTTATATTCACATTTCGTCAGTATGAACCTTCGTTTAGGACTGAGTAAAAATGATTCTTCCTCGAAGACTTACGGTAATGGCAATGAAGAAAAATACGTAATTTTAAATAGAGCTTTTAACTGATAATTATATTCTCTGATCTGATAATGGTATCATCATCATCATCATCATCATTTCAGCCACAGGACGTCCACTGCTGAACATAGGCCTCCCCCAATGACTTCCACATCGCACGGTTGGTAGCGGCCTGCATCCAGCGCCTTCCTGCCACCATTATGAAGTCGTCGGTCCTTCACTGATTTAATGAGATAATGGTATACCATCAGAGTATTTTTAATATGTATTTTTTTTATGACTTCTACGAAAAGTGGCTAGCTGGCAAAAAAACTAGAGATTGTCCTTTATAGGCACTTCTTGGAAACTTACGTCCATCTTTGGACGTTGAATGTTGATATTAAAATACCACTATTAGGTACAAATTCAAAATCATCATCATCATCATCATTGAGTGTCCACTTGAGGAATACGATACTATCTATTTTACTGAAGGAAAATACATAATTACCAAAGC